TTTGTTCAATATCCAACCGATTATACTAGTGTTTAAACTCATCTCAGTATTGGCAGTAATGAAGGTCATTAAACTGTTGCTCTATGTTTTCTATTTGTTGATTATTTCAGTCTGCAATATTAAATTTTGTACTGTTTGATATCCAATTTTATGTAATGTTTACTTGCAGAGAAAGTAGACTAACCTGTGGAAAATTTTGTGTAAAAAAAGACTGTTAATTATGCAGAAGAATTTTCTTATAAAATTAAAAAAAAACTCTCATTTGACCAACATCCTAAAATAGTACGTTGATTCTCATATTGCATCTGGTAAACAATATTTAGTGTGGAACATGAACAGTAATTCAGTAGCACTACAGTAGTACAAACTGTAAATTAGGCTGGATGGAATAGTTGGTGCTCTTATGCAAGTCCCATGACTTGAAGTTTTTAGCTTAACCACAAAATTATCACACGAGCTGGAAAAAAATGGTAGCCCTGATCAGATTTAAGAAAGATTATATAATTGGTGAATATTTAAATTATAATTGGTAATTTTAATGATAATTAATGGGGTATCTTATTTTACTTGTAGCTGTTGTCTCTTTCATTAGTATGATGAGACTTGCCATAATGAGAATGCTTCATCATCCAAATTACTATCAGAATAAACGAGAATAGTTTTTCTTAAACTTTGGTATAATTCAATTTGTAAGTTTGAAGGTCCATACATACAGAACCATCCATGTACACGCTTGCTTTAAGTTCAAGATGCAATATGTAACCTTTTTCTGTGTGAAACAATAAGCCTATGTTTACGACATTTTGAAATCCAGTTTAGAAGAAAGTGATGACGATATGCATAACTGCATTTAAAATTTAAAAACATCTGAACATACATGAGTAAAGATGCATTATAATAAAATCATAAAACGACAAGCCTAATAGCTATTTCAGCTAAGTTGTACATTCTATTAAATGTATCTACTATATCTAATGCATCAGAACAGGGTAAGGTTCCAGGAATTGTTGTTTTTTTTAAGTATGAGCCATCAAAGTAGTATTTGTGAAACAACAATAAATAATCATATCATCTAAACCCTTCTTTCACAGCAAAGCCAAAAAATACATATTTAGAAGCTTACCTATAGATCCAGGTAATTTTTTTATTGAATAAATAATTGTATATACATAATACATTATTTAACTCTATCCTACCTGGGTGCATCGATTCGACGTAAGTGCTATTTCATTTGTTTTATTCCATTGTGGAGAAAAATATTTTTTGTTTGTTTTTAGTTAAGCACAAAGCTATACAATGGGCTTAGCTGTGCTGTTCCCACCATGGGTATGTAAACCCATATTTTAGCGTTATAAATCCCTAGACTTAGCGCTGTATGAAAGGGTGGGGGAAAAAAGGGTGAAATAGCTTCAAACTTCAGAAATTTTTAGAAGTTTATGCAGCTCCTGCAAAATATACTATATCTCTCTATGTGTCAAACTGAGGTACCCGTCATTTTTCGAGTTATGAAATTAAAAGAATGGGAGGTGGATGTTATGATAAATAACACAAAATTCTAACTATCACACAATTTATTTTTAATATAACATATTATTATTACAGTATTCATTATTACCTCACCAAAAGTTTTATATGAGCTTTAAGAACTCAATATTTATACACTGTGAGATGGTCAGGAAGAAAATAGAAACGGTATGGGGGTTTTCTGTTACCCACTTTCAATACACAACTCTTAATGGCCTTCCACAGTGTTCACGTGATTACTTAATTGATGGTCATTGGCTGCAGAAGTGTCTTACAGGCCGAAGTTGAAAGGTCACAGGTCAAAGTATAATGTGGGTATAACTTATGGTGGCTGTTGCAGTAGAAACTTCAGCTGAATTTATGTATTATTGCAATAGTAGAAGCCATATTTTTCATTGAATTCTTCCATAGAGAGTGTTAGCGCACTCTTTGAGATATATAAGAAGCTTGTTTGGCCTCCCCCCACACTGTGTGTATGTTGTATTATAGAAAAGTTGATAAAACTTTTTGGTGTAAGGGCGTGGCGCCATCTATGAATTCAGTTAACTTTAACTTTCGTCACAGATAATAAATGCTCCATAACAGCAATAATGGGGGTGGGGGAGGTTATGAATTCCCTTTAACATGCCCCTTGTTCCAATCTATCATCTCGCAAAGTTTGTTTGAGATTGGCTGAACGGTCTAGGAGTAGTTGGATAAGACAGTTAAACAAACAAACAGACACAGATGTTTGTGCTTTAAATACATGTATAGATATTGGTATGAATTCGCAGCTTTGAAAATTCAGGTTCATTGTGATCTTTTAAGAAACAATTAGGAATGCTTACCTTTGTTGCAGAAATTTAACTACTGTTTTATATGTTTTCCTACTTTCTTTTGAAACATTCCTATAAAATTTTAATATTATAAAAATCTCTAAATTTATTTATGTAAATTTATGTAGTTTATGTTTACGGTCACTGATGTACCATCAAAATATTTCTTATCATATCAAGATTATACATAAATCAACGTTTTTAAATAATTATTTTAAGCAGAAGATTTAGCTTAATATAACTAGTATGCCTTAACCTCGTTTTCTATTAATTTCTTTTCAATGATTCTCTTTCCCATTCTAATAGTTACTTAGGCCGATAAGACCTAATGTGAAAAAGCTCTAACACAGAGGCCTTGTCAATGAAACAAAACTTCATAGAGTCAAGTGCGAATTGATTTAACTAAGCCTAGTTCATCTTGTTCTACATATTTTTTTTCCATAATGCACCTGGTATAGCCAGGTGGTTAGGGTGTTGTACTCGCAATCTGCGGGTTGCGGGTTCGAATCCCGTCCCACCAAATATCCTTGCCTTTTCAGCCGTGGGGCATTATAATGTGACAGCCAATCCCACTATTCGTAGCCCAAGAGTTGGTGATGGGTAGTGATAACTAGCTGCCTTCTCTCCAGTCTTTCGCTGCTAAATTAGGGACGGCTAGCACAGATAGCCCTCGTGTAGCTTTGTGCGAAATTCAAACAAATAGACAATCTATCATACTGTAACATTAAAATTCAGATGGAGTATAAAATTATAAGATAAGCTATAAAATATCCAGGACATTCATTGTAGCGTACGTTGTTCACCAATATTATTTCTTTTAGTAACATATCGTCAAGCTAAGCTTTTATCGTTTTGTTCCAACTTATAAGCGAATCTCTTCTGAACTGGAAACCACATCACCTAACAAAGCTCAAAAGAGCAGAAAACACAGCTTTCATTACGTGCTTAGACCACTATCCTATTACTTCTTGAACGTTCGTGGTTATACTATCCTGTTGCAGCCGAGGTTAAGAAACAATGACTGGCAAAACGTTGATAAAATTATGTTTGTCTTCAATTTACAAGCAAATTAGCGTTATTTTGATCAAAATTATTACGACTTTCCTCCTTGTGGCTACGCATGCCGTATTAAACTTGGAAAATAAAATCAGGAAATTCCCAAACACCAGTGATTTCGCTAAAAGCGCGCTGAAGTCAATTCAAAATCAACATTTGCGTTTTTGTTTTTTAACTAATATATGAAATTAACTGAATAAATTTATGTTGTATATATCACAATTATGAAGGTTTTCGTTTAATGTACGGAAGAATGAGTACATGTTTATTTTTTATAACATATTTAAATTTAATTAATGGCACAATTTTACCCTGGAGGCGGAATGCACCCATCAGGACGTGTTAGAGTTAAATATACACTTTGTATGTATGTATATAGTGACTTTAATATTCCCTAGACATATAATAATATCTGACAGATCAAATTATAAATGTAAACATTATTTTCAAAACAGACCTTTAAAAAGGACAAGTTCTTTGTATATTGTATGCTTTTGTTTCTGTAAATAAGGTGTTTTTTCATACTTTCAGTCCCGAAGAAGAATGACTGAATAATATCGAAGCTTCGAACGGACACTCTTTTGTTGGTATTCCATAAATATTTATTTAATGTTCCTCAAATGCTCGATTTTCTTTATTAGGTTTTGTGTTGTCTTAATGTGTTCTCAAAGTCTGTCATTTTACAGGTGTGCTTTAGTTTTATTTAAATAAACCGTGTCAGAGCCAAATCAGTTAAAATAATAAACGCCATTCGCTTTAAATAAACTAACTTTACGTTTGTAACATTTTTTAGGTTTAAGTTCGCCAACGTAGGCTTCCTGTCATACCTCTAGTTTAACAATAGCAATCCCCAAACAGTTGTAGAGGAAGACAAATCGGTCAGGTCCCCAGACTCAACGCCTACGGACATATGTGCAATAGAACTGTTGAAACAAGCACTAGGAAACCGTCATCTTCGTACGGTGGATGAAATATGGAAATCCACCAGGTTGGACTTGTATGCTTTGAACATGACAGCCTTGCGACGGAGCGTTTTGCAATGGAAACTACACTGAGGGATTTTGTCATTCGGTCATCAGATAGAGCATGTCCGGACGTAGCGACATGGGCATTAACGACAATACGAGGCTCCAAATTCATTTTTGATATAAGTTAATTAGCTTCTGTAGTAAAGCTAATAGAATTTTAGGATTTATTAATAGACAGTTGATTACAAGTCAAAGAGGTAACCACAGGCGGCGAGCGAGTCTTTTGTTTGAATAGACTACTTTGTAACATGTAGGGGATTGCACAATTGTGAAGTTCAGAGGAATCAGTTCGTGCTTCTAAATGAATAAACTGCCTGAGTGACTCACATGTATCCTCTTTCGATCTCTTCTATCAAGGTTTTGAGTGCGAGGTCAGCCTTAAAATATTAAATGGTCCCTTGGTTTCCTTATGTTATCTCTTCTATAATAGGGAATACGAGAACTGAATAGGTACCATCTCTGAGGTATAACAATAGTCTTATGCAAATTTATAATAATATTCTGAGTATTATACAAAATAAATTTACTTATTATATTTTATTCTTGAGCCCTACAGAGGGCGATAAAGTTTAATAGTGCGTGTTTATAAAACTTGAATTTGTTAAAAAGAGGTTGCTAAAAGTTATAAGTTTATGTAAGTCCTAATAATAATATGATGTACAAAATTTATGTACCATTTTTAAGTAATTTATATGTGTTTCTTTCTTTTTCGATTCTGAATTGCGATGTAGTTCAAATATGGAAGACTGAAATTTTCAGGAATTTCATGCTTTGGCCCTTGTTTCTTATAATTTATATAAATTATAATTACTTAAATTTAGTGATTTACATTAGTCATTTATGTTGAATAATGATACCGAACCTGATTTTTATGCTATTGAACAGAACCTAGTTTATTATCATCTAACTAGTAATAGTATTTAGTAATATAAGTAGTGTCATTAGATAAATAAGGAATTAATAACATGTAAAAAAAACGTTAGTGTATATTAATTTGAATATGAAATTTACTACGAGTACGAGTCGAGTTGTACTCGTAGTACAGTGGAGGAGGTCGAGGTTTATTGAAATTATTCTAATAATTAAAATGAAGGAAAAACTATTGTTAAAGTATTTACAGTAATTTGATATTAATAAGAGTTCATGGTGGTGTCAATATTTCGACATTTATCTATACCTCACAGTCAGAGTATAATAAATTGTCCGAAGTTTATACTCTTCTACTACATTACTTCAACTTGTATGAATGCAATTAACTCACAATTTTGGTAAATTATTCAGGCAATAATAATTATGCAAGATTTTATAGAATGCTTGTACAATGTGAAACTTCTAATAACTAAATAAGGAGCAAAATAATGTATAAAGGAGTGTGATATTTCCAGTTTAGTATAAATATAATAGAGAACAGTAGAATAAAAATTTTATTTAGAGGTTAAAATATGTGTAAATATAAAATTATTGAATACTGTCATTATGATTATGTTTGTAATCTGCCATTACTGTTGGCATACAATACATGTATGTTCTACCAAAGTATTTTCCAAGCTGTACAAAATAAAGTTCAAGTATTTCATTAAGCCAAAGAGTATACAGTACGTACATGTTTATTGTCATGGTTAGTAGCCTATCAATCACCTAAGTATTATTATTAATTAGTAACTTTTGTGTGTATATATATATATATATATAATTATAGTATATAGTAATATACTGTTGTCTTCAAGTACAGGAAAGCCCTGAGATTCTGAGAAGGACTATTTCTATGTTGGTAGTGGTCAGGAATCTATCCTGGGTTTTGGCAGAAGTGTGGTTTGTTATCCACATGAATGGAATCTTCTCCATGAGAATTTTAATCAATTATATTAGATGTTTTCAAAAGGAGTATATATACTAGGTTGACTGAGCATGTTATCACTTAGGTGGATGTATAAGGCTTCTTTTATTTTTCACATGTGTAGGTCATGTCCTATTTTCTTGGTATTTTTCCAATTTATTGTATGATCTTCCCTGGCATGTTGGGTTTTGTAAGTAAATTGTATTATCTAGTCTTGTGTATTATAATCCTGAATTCTGATTTTTGTTGTTCTTTTTCACACTTGAAAGGTAGTACATTGTAGTCTAAATGTTAGACTGTTACGTCTAATTGTAAGAGTGATTATAGTAGTCTTGACATGAATTTTGATCCAAAGAGCATGCATATTGGTTAACATCAGGAAGTCAATTATAGTATTAGTCCTATATAGTATTTTAAAAAGAACCTTTAGGATTAAGTATTTGGAGGCATCTTAACATAAAAATTAAAATCAATAAAATATGTTTAAAGCAAGACTTTGTGAAAATGGGGCACTAAAAGAAAGCTGTTCGTATCCAAGTTAACTTCGGAAAAAATGTGACTTTTGCATTAAGTGTGTATGCTTTTTGTCTTTTCCAACATAATATTTTAACTTTTTTTTTGTGTCATTTTAAAATGTACTTTAATATGGAGAGCTGCTAAAAGAGACATATCTTACAGGAATTTTTAACTGATGAGGAAGAAAAAGAAATTTTTAAGCTGATCAATTTCTTTAAAGGTAGGAAGGATTTTTTCATAGTTTCCATTTATAATGTAAAAGAAGCTTATACTATGTGAGGAGACCAATCTAGCATTATTTGTTTGGATGCAAGTGTTTGTTGGTAAATAATCTAATTCAGTACATATCACCTATTATCACATACACAGTTATTAATAATTTAGTATAAGTGTCATGTTTTAAACAAACTACCACTTACATTGTTTGCAATATTTTCTTTCAAGGCTTAAACTACTATTACAAATCACAACTCCACTTTTACTAAACCCTGTTCATTTTACAATGTAATTATTCTAAATTTGTTCTTTTCAAAGAGACAGATAAAATCTGTCAAAGTGTAACATGTAACTATGGAGTTAAATATAAGAAAAACAGTAATGGGATTAGGGCAGCTGTTTATGTAACACTACTTACAGGTTATGGGCAATAACTTTTGCAGGGGGGACACTCCATCAATTTTGGGCTGCAAATTTCTATTGTATTAATTAGAAGACATTAACATTGATTGTATAAACACCCCATTATATTCTTTCCACAACTCCTGGGAGTCATGGCGGGCAGGACAGAAACGTTAGATGGGTCCTATTTTGCTCACCTCTGGGTTTTACCATGTAAATTATAGGTGTTTATTATATAGTAATAAATTAACTATAATTACATATAAAGTAGCCTAATATTAGAAATCATTGTGTTCAACACTTGTTACATAAATATAATTTGTTCAGCCTACATGAATTGTGTTCTTATGTTGTGGATATAACTAGGACTATAAGAGTGATGGTCAAATCCTATTCTTCAATTAGACAAGAACAGTCAATGAATTGCCAGTGGATTGCTTTGATGATCTTATTCTGTAACAGTTGTTGACAATAGCTTTGACTAGCTCAATAAAGGCACATCAAGTAATCCCAGAAACTTTTTAGCATAAAGACACTGGACAAGTGATGCTCGCATGCTGAGTGACGAATCCAATCAAACACCAATAGATTGCTGCCTATGTGGTATTACCTGTATAAGCAATATTAATGAAGAAACTACTAATGGGAACCTCATTACATAACTCAGCAGTTTGGTATTTATTATATTGAGGCTAAGCATATCATGGTATTGCATGTTTACAGTAATTAACATAACTGTATGTTACAAATCTGTCAAAAATATAACACCTCATTCATCCAATACCATGTGGCTGTTGAGTTACACTGTAGTTTAAGCTTAGACAAGTTCCTTACGTTCTACAAAATACAAGTAGAAAAGTAATCATAAACTATTATTAATAGAAGTTATTTGTGTTTGTAGTGAGATGATAATGTATGTAAAGAAATAATTATGTGCCAAGAGATGCCTGCATCTGAAGGAAGAAATAATGCAAATTTAATTCCTCAAAATGCCTTCCCTTTAGTCTTTCAGTTAAAAAAATTAGGGAAAGCTATGCACAAATAGCCCTTTTCTAGCTCTGCATGAAAATTCTGAAACAAACAAACTATAGCAATCGAGCATCTTTTGTCAAACTGTTAGTTATTTTAGTTTAGCTCAAGGCACACATATTCATCTTCATTGTGAATATTATTGATAAGCTGGTTGTGTGCCATAATACATGGTTGGGGGAGGAGAGCACTTCTGAGTACATTAGAACAACTGATCAAGACAGTTTATGCTTTCAAGTTATTTAAGTGTTTCGTCGTTATGCTGTTGATCTTGGCTAATGACAACATCCTTTATGAATTATTCTAAACATAGATTTTAAATGGAACTTATCTCTATCATTCAATTGTCTCCATTAGTTCAATCTGTATCATAGATTTTAGTAACTTATCTATCTTTTGATGAAAATTTTGATTTTTTTAGGGGGGAGGAAGGATTGTGGGGTGATGTTAATGAGCCAAATTGTCATCTGTCTTTATATTAACTTTTAAGTTACTAGCTACTACTGCGGTTTTACATATGTGGTTCTCTTACTTAATTAACTGTAAGTTTTGTTTTCTATTACACTAAACATTTTGTAATATAAATACTGTTGTGATATGTCCAGGTGAAACTGGATTAACTTCAGAACTAAATAAGAAGATTTGCTCAAGATATTGATTAGAGATTAATGTTAAACCTCGTACTAAGTTGATATAAATGAAGTAATAACCTGGACTCAAAGTGTATTAAAAAATGTACACTCTTTATTATGAGAAACACAAATACGGAGAGTTGTATTCTTGTAGCTATAATTACACTGGACAATTTGAGATGAAACCATATACCACACAAGATGAAGAAGTTCCAAACTGACTAAATACAATATTCCTCAGTTCACAAGAGACCTTGCAATTACCTAGAGTGGCATGTGCTAACCATTTGACTGGTCATTACAGTATAGATATAGCTGTGATCTGTAGATAACACCTGTACAGATGTTGAAGGACACTACTGTTGACATAATTACACAATTTGCCATATTAGGCAGTGTTCTACCAAGGTAAGAACAACAAAGGTAACTTGAAACAAGATCAACATATCAAATTTCTTGACCATGTGTTATGTGAGACCATCACTTTTTCAGAACAAAGAATGTGTCCAGGATAGATATTATAATACTACAAGAAGGAAGAAGCATGTGGTGTATTCATATACCATATCAAGTAACATTCAAAAACAGGATTTTCTGTTTGCAGGTCATTAGAATGACTGAATTAGCCTCAAAAGTCCTGACAGATCCAAAAGTGTCTAAAGCACCTGTAGATATTGACATAGATAGTATTGTTGTGGATATTTGTTTTCATCCAGCCAGGGATGCAATTGCAGCAGGCACCATTGATGGAGAAGTAAAAATGTAACTATATTATTCTTGTATCATCTAAAATACATGTTTTTAGTTGTATACAGTAGGCCTTATTCATTGTATATTTGGAAATGTATCCATTATTTGGTTAGCATACTACATGTAAATTAGTTTAATACATGTCATTAATTTTTTATCTCCCTGACCAAATTGGTTGGGAAGGATGCAGTGATTGTTTTGTATGTTTATTTGTACATCCATATGTAAATATCTACTTTTCACATAATAACAGTTCTAGAAAGCAGTTCTTAATCAAACTTCAGGAGTCACTTACTTGGTGAAGAACGTTATTGATTTTATGGTTAAAAGAACAAAATTTGAGCTCACTGTTTTGTAGAATAGAAATTTTGTTTTAGTGCAAAAGTAAACCACAAAATGCACACAAACACATAGTTTAGTGAACCAAATTGCACAAATATAATATCAAAGTATGGTGCTTATTCCTTAAGTCTCATCAGGTAAATGTAACAGTAGTTGGAAGAATATTATGAATGAATGAGACCACCATGTTTTGTATCAAAATGGAACCTAATTCGTCAACATAACTTTCAGGGACTTGCAGATGTCCTGCTGTAAAGAATTGAAGCAGTTCTAACAGCCAAAGTTGGAACCACATGTTATTAAAACACTTTTTTTTTTTTGGGTGCTACTATTGTTTTTTTTTGTCCAACCCCTATATGTAAATGTATTTGAATTGTTTAACCATTGTTAAAGTAAAATGATGTATAAACTAAACATGACCCTATGTATTGATTTTTATGATCAATGTTGCTCATAAAATTTCCATTAAATGTATCTTTCTTAATATTATATGTTAGTGGACCATAAACCAGTTCATGTGCAGTGTTTTAAAGTCACTTAAATATAATAAAAATGGAATTTAATATACTTCCTAAACTTGATAAATACCATGCTATCACAGTATGTTGGTTCTGCTTAAGTCAAAAGTGGTCATTATGATTACTCTATAGTAATGTGTTATGTAACTGCCAAAAATGAGGAAAATTCTCTTAAAAATAGTTTCAAACTTTCAGATTAATCCTATCATGACCAATTGAGTGCACACATGCATGTGAAATTTAAGTAAAAATGATAATTCTGATTTGACTTCAATAATTTTTAGCTCAGAAATATTTTAGAGTTCATAGTTGGTTACTTTCTAACATTTATTTAGTGTAATTTACAAAGAAAAACAAATGTTTAAACTCCAATGAATCTCACATGTAAACTGCCCACCTATTGTTTTTTTTTTTTTTAGAATTTTACTGCCTATCCAAAAGCCTACATATATATATTAGGTCATCAAGAAATTAATGTCTCGTTTTGGAACACTTTCATTAACCAACCCCGCCCCCCCCCAAAAAAAACAACATACATCATATATAATAGTTAAATGAACCATCTAAATGTCATGTTAGTGTAGCCTAT